AATCAAAAACAAGATGCAAAATTCCAGATCCACTCGGACCAACCTGCGAATTAAAAATTCGTTCTTTTGTAGAAGTTATTTTATTCATAGCTTTGGAGAAGGTAAAATTTAGCCGACTGTACTTGATAAAAATGCTACCCAAACTGTTGTTTCTTCTTATGTAGTTACTATGACTCGAACGATTGCAGATGCTAGTATTAACTTTATGACAAAAAATTGGCACAGAAAGTAAAAGAGATCTATGACACGTACGTCCAAAAAATTTCCATGACTTTCCTTCATGATTCTCCTCATCAAAAACAAAATTTCCTAAGTTCAGTTGTTTGTCACATTTATCGCCCATCTCACCTCTGGAATGAAAAAATTGATATTGGTTAACATCTAAATTTTATAATACCTAAATCTAAATTTCTTTCTAAATACCTAAATCTAAATTTCAAAGATAAAATAAAGTGATTTTCTTGGCTTACAGTTTATTTAAAAACATCGAGTCCATGTTCCGTATGCAAATGCTTTTCTTTCTGCACAATAAAGAGTTTTTGCATGAACAAATGGGTAGTTGCTACACCTCCAATAATAATCTTCATCTTTCAAAATTAAATTCTGAATTTCTGAGCTTGCGTGGTCATCCATGTTTGTAACCTTTAATTTCAAAATTTCTGACAGAATTTTACATTTTTTATAACCTTTTGCAAAAAACTCCCTTTCTGACCTTTTTATTTTTTCAATATTTTTTCATATTGGTATATTATTCATAACCACTGCCCAAATGATTCCATGAAAGTGCTTCGTACACCAAGCAAAATAAGATGTTGATTTGAAGTTTTTGTGAGGAAGAAAGGTATATCCCACATTTTGTCTATTTTCATAAACTCCTATCTCTTTTACTATTTTGTTTTCAATACACTGGATATACAAAACAACCGGACTCCCGATGTTAACTGTTTTCACTGAAAATTTTAGTCAAAATGACTAACAATTGAACAATGCATAAAATGTTGAAGCAAAAATTTTAATATCTAAATAGAAGAGTAATTCAGTCACGTGACCAAGAAAACAAGAACTAGGAAATCTAGGTAAAACATAACAATAACCAAGTCCTTTATTCGTAGTAGACTTCACAGATTCAACTGCATCATGTAAAATTGCATGAAGTCTGAACATTTTTGAATTTGCAAACAAGTAATCCATACAGAGTTTACTTATCCAATTAGACTCCTAAAAGAAATTTTTTGACCATTTCTTTCAAATTTATGTTTGGGTGGAAAAAAATACAGGTACATGAAAGAGAGTTTTTTTCTTTTTGTATTTGATGAAAAGTCGTGCTTAATCAAACTAAAACTTCTGAAAATTTCAATCAATTTCTGAAAGTACATTTCCTACAGTGCATTCAACAATAAGGATACAAGTTTTTCTGAATGTTTCTACATAAGACAAAACCGATGGAAGAAAATCAATTAGTTCATCATACTTCTCTTTTTCAAATGAAATTTTGCTTGATTTTCCAAGTGTTTTCTTTCTTACGATATTTTATAGAATCTATTTTTTATCATCTGATTAATAACTTAGAAAAACTTTACGTCTTTCATTATGAAGGTTCACTCAAATTTAGAAATTTGTGATTCTGTATCCAAATCTTGCAACTTTGGTAAAGTTTGGGACTCCAAAATTTTTAGCGAAATTTTTTGGGACTTTTCTTGTGAGACGATATGAGAAAGTCCCAAATTTTTTGTCCCACGACAAGTTTTTTGGAAAAAGTTTTCAGCATCGTGAATAACAGTGTTCCGTATTGCTGATATCATTTCTCCTTCTTTTTCTCTAAGATAGACTTGCTGGAATTTTTTGATTTAATCCGATTCATTTTTCTTTATTAATTGGAAGCAAAGTTCAAAGTACGTTTTTCCGTTGTAGGGTTTTTCGGATCAAGAAAATCTCCCAATTCTTTTTTGATTTGTATCAAGTTCAATATAGTTTGGAGAGATATTCTTTTGAGAATACTTTTTTGATATGAAACTCAGAGCCAACTGATCAGTAGTAGATTTTTTTTTTAAATGATGTTTAAAAAAATATATATAAAAAAAGAAATGTAGATGACTCACTGTACATTCCAAATAAGTTTACATTACCTTATATGGAACAGTAAGTAGGTGATGAACCAAATAAGTTTACTTTTTAAATAATTCATTGTAGATAAAAATCATTTTTAACATATAATCGGTGATGACATCTGCTATTTGTCAAGCAAATCCCACTTTTTATTTGGACCACAATGCAAAATTTCATTTCATCTCTGTCTCGGCATTTTTTTATGAAAAATTCATTGTCATCCGAGACTACTGTGTATCTAACCATTCATCATTCTGCCCAGAGGAAAATTGCAAATTTCACTTAGTATTAATCGGATCATCGCTCGATCAAACTTTGCAAAGCTGAGATAAATATCAGTTCACCTCTCAAATTGTTGACTGTATTTATACTTCCTACAAAAACAAATTTTTTCCAATATTATTTGATCAAGAGGTGAAGCCTTCAATCAATTGAATCGGACAGTCGAACACAACCTGAAATGCAGAATACCGGAAAAATTATCCAGTTTTGCAAAGAAACGCCTGCTGCGAATAAATTCAAAAGACACCATCTCAGTTCTGCTCAGTAGCTTTCGTCCACTCAGACTCTTGGATCAGCTTATTTGGAAAGGATTCAAAAACTCTGTGTATTTTTTTCTGAAAAAATGATTGTTTTATTGCTGGTTATGGTTCTGTAAATAGTGAGAGTGTCAATTTTTTTTATTGATAATTGAATTTTTGCTTATTAAAGTCTTGTCAAAGTTAGTTTTAATTCAACTTAAAAATTTTTTCAGCTTGTATTTTTCAATTTTTCAATTTGTCAATTTCAATTTTTTCAATTTGTATTTTTTTCTCACATGTGTGCAATTTGATGTTTATGAAACTAAATTTTCAAATAGTTCCGCTAAGTAGAATCCATATTTTATCAATATTTGATCAAACAGTTTGCGGATAAAGAGAGTTGTACTATAGATTTTTGTTCTGCACAAGCGTCATCAAATATTAAAAGGTTTTTTTTCCATTTTTGGGAAGGTTTTCAATCAGTTCAAAGTCAACTCCTTGGACAAAGTTGAGATTTTTTCTTTGTATTTTTACATAAAGAGGTTGATATTGTTGATAAAAATAGAAATTTTTGTCAAAATTTGTTGAAATGATCCAATTTTTATCCAATCAAAAACAGGATGCAAAATTCCAGATCCCATCGGACCAACCTGCGAATTCAAAAATCGTTCTTTGGTAGAAGTTATTTTATTAATAGCTTTGGAGAAGGTAAAATTTAGCCGACTGTACTTGATAAAAATGCTACCCAAACTGTTGTTTCTTCACATGTAGTTACTATGATTCGAACGATTGCAGATGCTAGTATTAAACTTATGACAAAAAATTGGCACAGACACTAAAAGAGATCTATGGCACGTACGTCCAAAAAACTTCCATGACTTTCCTTCATGATTTTCTTCATCAAAAACAAAAATTTCTTAAGTTCAATTGTTTGTCACATTCACTCTTCGATGGTAATTGGGTTCTCCAGAGATCCTTCTTCCCAAGGAAAAAGGAACTCGTCGACTGGTTGAGCCACATATCTAGAGTCAGGAGTGTCGGGTTAGTTCATTCCCACATGCTCAGCCACTTCACCTCCATCCTTTCAATCTCTTCAAGTTGGTTCTCTGTCATGGCTACTTGCGTTATATAGTGTTTGTTGAAATCCCTGCGCATCACTTCCACCATGTGCCAGACTTGGATTGAGATGTCCATTCGTGCCAGAAGAACTCCATAGACTGTATCTCGTACTTAGACTTGTACTGGATCAGGCGAAACTTTTACCGAGAACATAAGGTTGCTGGTAGCAATAATCAGTTTCTTGAGGAATTTGATAGTTATAAAAGCAAACTTTCGAATGGTTCCGCTAAATAGAACCCATATTTTATCAATATTTGAACAAACAGTTTGCGGAAAAAGAGAGTTGTGCTATAGTTTTTTTCAAAAACTTTAGCTGTTTTTTCTATACTATCATAATTTGGAATATCCAGCTAGAGTTTGCCATAGAAATATCTTCTGACGCTTAACGCTTCTCATGAATGCGTGAATGAAAACCAAAATTTTAATTTCAACTCGGGTTTTTATGCTAATGATAAAATCAAGTCTTCTAAAGAGTCGCAAAGATTTGTTACAAGCTTGCTATGGTTTTTAAAAAGATTAATTGTTCTCTACATAATATCAAAAATTGATGTATTTTGCCTTGAAAAGATTCTCAACCGCTTGTGACGTATGCGAGCTGATAGTACTTACAATTTTAATTTAATTTCAGGCCAAAGTTATTTGCATGTTTTCTAATTTGAAACGAGGAATTATTAGAAGATCCGAAAAAATTTCTTCTATCCAGTTTAACTTCTTTTCGGGAAATTTATGAGCGTCCCGTTAATTAATTGCACTGACTGATAGTAAAGCATTGGAGAAATGTCTTGGAGGCAGGTTTGGTTAGGTCTTGCTTCATGACATCAATTTTCTATCCACGCTGCCAATTTCTATAAGAGTTGACAGCTTAGTTCGTAATACAAATAGATAAGAAAAAACTAGGAATTAAATACAAGGAATATTATTTGCTTTATTTCAATTAATACGATGTTTTTTTCGGATGTCCGTGTACGTTTATGGTTCATTGATTTATTTAAAAAAAACTACCTCAATACTTTTTTACAAACCAATTTGTTCAAGTAGTCGCCATCAGATGTCATTTTTGAGCTGATTCTTTGACTAGTTCTTTTCGTGAATTTAAAAATATCCAGTTTAGTTTCAATTTTTAATTTCAAAATGTGCCCATTGGAATTCTTTCGGGCACTAAAATTGTCATTGACCTTTGCCATCTAATTGCACAGAAGTCGTCGTTTATTTCTGCTTGGAAATATTCATTAGTTTCTTTTTGTGAGCAAAAGAATGGATGAAGACGCGGATTACGAGCAGAATGCTGTCGATGTGAGCAAAACAGTTCACCCCCTCAAAGAAGACAGTAAATATGAATCATATGGACTACTTTTATAGCATGAAACTGCACTTTAAAAAATCAAAATTACCAAACCTCAGTTTCATTTTTTTCATATACCGATAAAAACTTTGCTTAGCAAATTTTTACATTCTTAAACACTTTTTCAGCCATCAATGAGTTTATGTAGATTTTACAAGTGTTTAGTGGCTTTTCAGTATCTGAAAACATTGAGATACCTACCCAGGGGCGGATCTAGGGTTTTCTCGAGGGGGGGGGCGGATTTTCAAAAAATGTTGAAAATTTTGTCGACCTTTTTTTTAGATCGACCAAACAGATTTTCTTAGCTCTCCTAAATCACTATAAAGTCACCATTTTGACGAAACTTTCTGCGCCGCAGGCAAAATTTTGAAAATACAGGCCAAAAAAGGCATTTTCAGGCAATTTTTGAAAAGTTTTGACCAAAAAATAGCGTTTTTTTCGGCGCGATCCCCTCTTCCCCCCCCCCCCCAAAAATCAGTATATATTGGCGTCAAGGGCGCTTTAGAAAAATTTCCGTCAAAAAATATGGATATCACAAAATAGTGCAAGGGGGACCCTTTGGGTCGGCAGGGGGTCGAATTCCTGAGGAAAAAGCGTCCGCCCACCCCGCCCCTTCCCCAAGTCAGCTGGTGTACGTACCCATTGTTGTGTTCAGGGAAAATCTTGTTAATTCTAGATAGGTTGATCAAAGATGATGCCAGTTTAAGATGCAAGAAAAATTGACGCCTTGCATGCAAGATATTCAAGACCATGCAAGATCTTGGCTAGATAACCATTTTACTTGGGAGCATTGATATGATTATCGCAAGGTTATACTTGATCTTGGAATTATTAAATAACTTCGGTGTCCGCCTCAATAAACTAGGAGAATAATCACCGGAATTGGCATGGGATTCATCGGAGAAAAAAACCATCAAGCAAATCAATTTACACGAATTGAATATCAAGTAAACCTTTTTTCACAAGAGTTGAACATTTTCAATTTACTTTCTTTGAGCACAGATTTTTTACTACATTAGTGGACAAAACTAAGCGCAAACTCAGATTTTTACTGTCAAGAACCCTAATATAAGGAACATTTTGGACAATAATTACTTTGAGTTATAACAAAATTTTTCATATACTGACAGCAAAAGATCTAAACTACCCTCTCTGGAAAATTTTGTTTTTAACTTGAAGCACTTACCAGTTGTTTTCGGGTCTGAAGATGACAGTTTTCACCGTCTGTGTTAGGCTTTGCATTGTAGTGAACTCTTTCTCGAATAAGCGGAGTGAAAATGTTGTTGATGCGACGTAAAACATTCTCAGCGAGAAAATTAAAATAATCAGTAGGACAACTTTACTAAACCCAGCTGTTTCTTACATTTTCACGCGTTTTGATAAACTTAGTGCGGATGCTGAAAACTGGTAATTTCAGATCCGGAAAAACTGGTAAGAGCTTTAAAATAAAAATGGAGACTTTCAAAGAGGATAGTTCAGATCATTTGCTGTCGGTGGGTGTAAAAATTTTGTTGACATTTTAAATAAATATTGTCCAGAATTATCCTTAAAGTTAGGCACCTTGAAATTAAAAAATTAAATTTGCGCTTAAAAATGCACACACATACACACACATCCCATTGAACAATTAAAACTCGCTGAAACTAAAGTCAACAAAACGGCAAGACCTGAGGCAGCAAACCGGTGATATTTTTTAGCACATTGCGAGAAAATGGAATGCAGTTCAATTATCTATCAAGTCAATATCAATGAAAACATTGTAATATTTTGGCCATTTAACACACGTCCAGATGACACTAGAGAGAAAAAGTCAGGAGAAGCATAACTTTTTTGTTCTGACCACTTCAAATCAATTTTACTTACGTTACAGATAACTTCAAATGAATTCATTTAAACAGCTGTCTACAAAAAGTCATACAATAAAAAAAAATCGAATTTGATACGATTAAAACTCATTCGCTTTATACTCAAAAATTAGAAAAGGCCAAAAAAAAACTAGAAAATCATTTTCTGAGATAAAAAAAACTTGCTCGTTTCAAACATAGGCCCTTCTAAATGGATCCGTATGTGGTACCTGCTTTCGTTTTCTGTACGTTACTTATTAGATGAAATCTTAAAATTAAAACTTTGTTCAATTCAAAGCCTTGCTGTTGTTATGGTAAACCAAAGCAAACAAGAATACTCGTACATTGAACCGAAGCCCTGCATGTCCAGACTGCCTTTTGACTGGTCTAGAAAAGTTTTTAGTCTAAAAAAATTCACTGTCAATATCAAATAGTAGGAAATATTTTTTGAGCCGTCCAAGAAGCTTACCTGATTTCATAATGAAACAAGTTTGACCAAGGAAGAGCTCGCGCCATTTCGAAATTTTTGATAGCGCGCATAAATTAGTCCAGATTATGCCAAAACGGTGGCTTTCAAAACATCAGAGTTTCACAATTGATTGCACTATTGAAATCGTTTTGAGCCGTCCAGGAAGCTAATTGAACAACTTTGCTTACCTGATTTCATAATGGAACAAGTTTGATCAAGGAAGATTTTGCCATGCAGAAGTTTTTGATAGCGCGCAGAAAATTGTCCAGATTATAGCAAAGTTGTGGCTTTCAAAACGTCAGATTTTCACAATTGATTGTAGGTATCAAACCTTATTGAGCCATCCAGGAAGTTAATTGAACAACTTTGCTTACCTGCTTCATAAAGGAACATGTTTGATCAAGGAAGAGCTCGCCATGCATAAATTTTTGATAGCGCGCATAAATTAGTCCAAATTATGGCAAAACGGTGGCTTTCAAAACATCGGAGTTTCACAATTGATTGCACTATTCAAATCTTTTTGAGCCGTCCAGGAAGCTAATTGAACAACTTTGCCTACCTGATTTCATAATGGAACAAGTTTGATCAAGGAAGAACTCGCCATGCAGAAGTTTTTGATAGCGCGCAGAAAATTGTCCAGATTATGGCAAAGTGGTGGTTTTCAAAACTTCAGATTTTCACAATTGATTGTAGGTATCAAACCTTATTGAGCCGTCCAGGAAGATAATTGAACAACTTTGCTTACCTGCTTTCATAAAGGAACATGTTTGATCAAGGAAGAGCTCGCCATGCATAAATTTTTGATAGCGCGCATAAGTTAGTCCAGATTATGGCAAAACGGTGGCTTTCAAAACATCAGAGTTTCACAATTGATTGCACTATTCAAATCTTTTTGAGCCGTCCAGGAAGCTAATTGAACAACTTTGCTTACTTGATTTCATAATGGAACAAGTTTGATCAAGGAAGAACTTGCCATGCAGAAGTTCTTGATAGCGCGCAGAAAATTGTCCAGATTATGCCAAAGTGGTGGTTTTCAAAACGTCAGATTTTCTTAATTGATTGTAGGTATCAAACCTTATTGAGCCGTCCAGGAAGCTAATTGGACCACTTTGCTTATCTGATTTCATAATGGAAAAAGTTTGATCAAAGAAGAACTTGCCATGCAGAAGTTTTTGATAGCGCGCAGAAATTTATCCAGGTTATGGCAAAGTGGTGGTTTTCAAAACGTCAGATTTTTACAAATGATTGTAGGTATCAAATCTTATCCATCTGCGCTCAAGGATTTCATATCTTAATTCGGTCAAGAAGATGTCTGTCAAAAGCTACAATTTAACTTGAACCGTTTCAAAAAACGACCGCTTGCGCTTGAAGTTTGTCTGTTCATCTCGCTAAGTGCAGCCAAATCTTGAACAATTTTATCTCTGAAAACTGAAATAGATTAGTTGAAATTATTTTTTTGGCCTTTCCGAACAAATATTATGTCAACGGATAGAGAACGGTTATTTCAAAGACAAAGTGGTGTGGAAGCTACCGGAGAAAATTCCAGATGAGCCAGCAATGATTGTTGTTGAGAATATGGCGGAGAAACGAGAGAGAAAAGATACGGCATTCAAAAAAATTGGGTAGATTCACATTGATGAAATGAATCTGAGACTGAGGGAAGAGAATTTTTTTCAAGAATCTGTTTTTTATTAAAAACTCACTTTTTGAGCCCAAAATACAGGGACAATTGCCAGAAAAAACTTTAGGCTCTGCTAAAAACTACCTTCATATTGATCTCAATTGTTTTAAATCTAAAGTATCTTATATACTTTCTATAAGTGAGTTTGGTATAGTACTGTGAATTAAAAATGGTACTAACAAACGCAACTGAACGCAACATTTTTTTCCTTAATCTGTTCATCTGAAAGAAGGGAGTTCAGCTAAGTTGATTAATGATTTATAATGATTTGATTTTAAATTGCTTATGTTTTTAAAAACGATTCCGCTGAATGAAATTAAAATAAATTGAAAAAAAGAACAACCATTTTAATTTAATCAAGAAGTTTGCGTTAGCTTTTTCCTTATTAGACGAAAAATTATCAACTGACAGGAGAAATTTCAGTGCTTTATCATATGTTACTGGATTTGTTTTTGATGGACTTATCTGCTTCTAGAATTTGAGTGAATAAAAGTTCCAAAATTGAACAGATTGCTTTTTTAATGACTCCTCTAAGAACATTGGGAGTCCAAAAAAAATGGTTTTACTTTTACGGGCTCTCAAGTTTGTAAGCCCGTAGAAGTTTGTAAGCCATTCTTTGTTACTCTTGTTTTTGGTTTATTTGGACTGTTTAAAATTTTTAAACAGTCCAAATAAACCAAAAACAAGAGTAACCAAGAATTGAGTTTCGAAGCTTTGAAAAACTCAGCTTGCTTAAAAATTGAAAGTTGGTAGCCGTTTCCGCTGAATAGATCAAACTTCGTAGATAAATCTTGCCTTTTTTTCCAAATCAACGGTCGGCTTGAGAAAAAAATCACATCATGATGCAAATTTTGATGTTATAATTGTTATTTATGTGAGATAGAAACACATGTGAGCAATCTCGCAGACAGATTAATGACTTCGAAAGAACAAATCATTCTTCTGAAATTACATGACAATAAAACCTACACCTGCAATAGAACCATCAGAAATCAACGGGCAGCTGGTTTTTTTGAGAAAAGGTCTTAATGTCAAGTTGTGCCAAAAACTCTTAAAACTAAAATAAAATTTTATCAATTCACAGAAAAAGGAACAGAAAACTAAACTTATTTGTCAATTCTTCAGAAATTACTATAACGTTATATCATGGGCAGCCCAACAAAGTTGAATCAATGGTAAGAGGATTGCTTACTTTCTCCTTTGAAACACAAAAAGAACTGCAATTTTCTTCTAGTTCGACAACTCCTTAAGCTGCAACTGTCAAAAGATTGCCGCAAATGTTTTTTTTACAAACTTGAGAGCCCGTAAAAGTAAAACCATTTTTTTTGGACTCCCAATGTTCTTAGAGGAGTCATTAAAAAAGCAATCTGTTCAATTTTGGAAGTTTTATTCACTCAAATTCTAGAAGCAGATAAATCCATCAAAAACAAATCCAGTAACATATGATGCAGCACTGAAATTTCTCCTGTCAGTTGATAATTTTTCGTCAAATAAGGAAAAAGCTAACGCAAACTTCTTGATTAATCAAAACTGTTGATTGTAAAATTTGTAGGATCTTGCTTCAAAAGTGCTCGAAGTGCTGATTGAGAGGGAAAACTTTGTCAATTCTAAAATTATTTTCAGTGAACTGTTACGATACTGATCAAATGAATCATACTAAAAATACTAACCAAAAATAAAAATGCAGGACCCTGCAGGAATCAGTTTTACGTCCAATTTTGTAACCAATTTTACAAAACATCTCCAAAAGAACGATTGAAAATTAGGTGCAAAAAGTTGTTAAGAAACTGAAAGCATAAACTAAATTGAATGACTCTTAAGCTGTATGTTCAAGTAATTTATCAATATGGGTGCTGAAATCTGGCTGCGCCTTAAAAACAAGTCCAGAAATTCTGCAGAAACAGCAAAATCTATTGAGGAGAATAATCACCAAGAAAAAAAATCGCCGAATGAAGATCGGCGATTCCAAAAATAAAAGTTGTTCATTCTATGTCCTACAAGCAAACAAAATTGTAAAAATATTAGCAAAAGTCATACGAAAGCAATCCAAGCTTAGTTGTGAAATTTTTCGTAACATCAGATAAAATAAGTAAGCATCTACAAAGTGATACAAGGAAAAAATTGAACATAACGATTTGACCAAAATTGACCAAAAAAAAACAAAGAGTGAGTAAGACTTCTTTTGAATACAATTTACAAACTGGACTGTAACGTTTTGTTAAACTTAGAGACCTATATCTGTACAATAATAATTTCTGTGCGACTGTTTTTTTAATCAAAAAGACTATGTGAAACTTTTATGACGAGTAGTTAGCTTGTTTAATTTGTTCATAAAAATCATAATAAAAAAATTGTTGTCACCCTTCAGGGTTCAACAGAACGAAAATTAAAAAAAAATAGATTCCAAATTGCTCTCAAATGATACCTGCAAACAGGATTTTAGCCTTACTGTGACCGTTTGAATTGACCTTATCAAAATTGTAAATTTATAATAAATAAGTTCTGTAATGTGCTCGGTTCGTAAACGCATTCATTATGTTTATTACAAGATATCATCTGGAGCGTCATTTTTTTTCTTGGGTGGAAAATCGGAACAAAAATGAAAGCAATAGGCGTTTATATGTCCATCTGCAGCAGATACGCTTTTCTTTTCAGCAATCACCTTAAGTTTGTTAATAGATGATTTAACAAATGATTTTTCGATAGGATTTAAAAACAAAATAAATCAATTTTGGGCTTGAGTCCTTTTCGTATATTTACTTAATATTGTATCACATGACATCGAGCTGATTTTCTGCAGATTGGAATGCTTTGATGCTTGTCGTATTTTTTTAAAACTGTGATTACGCGTGGGAAAAAATGTGGTCCACATATCGTGTGGTCTTGTGCATAAAGCACTGAAAGCCAATACGCTATTAGAAGTACTATTTTCAAATGATAGCCTTCTCAAAAATAAGATCTCATCTGCAACTGTTAAATGATGCAGGTACTCATCAGGAGCAGCCGACGTACCAGATGCAGCCTCGTGCTGTGGAGGAGTTTCCTCGGAAGCAGATGCAGATGATGTTGCAGAGGACGGTGAGTGCGAGACTGGAGGGGGAGAGGTACGAGAGTAAGGAGAGGGGGGCTTCCATGGCCAGGGACATGGTCGAGGTCATACAGAGGAAAGTGATCGACAGTCTGCATTTCATTGTGTCTGAGGACGACGAGGTAGGTCGAGGACGCTAATATCGCCATTGCCAGGAACAAAACAAAATGTGAACAGCTATAGATTAGAACGATATCGAAGCGCTAGTAGAATTATTTCAAAACAGTCGTTCACCTCAATCATGAATCAAAAATTATCTAGTTTCTTGTTATATTTAAATTGTTTTCTAAACCCGGGTCGACTTATTTTTCGACTTTGAAAGTCGAGCAAGAGCAGTTTTTCAACTGAAATTCGGCGGTCGAGAAGCAATTTCAAATCGAGCACAAAGTCAAAACAAACTCAATTTCAGTCGAGGTAGTCGAGACATAGGTCGAGCACAGTCGAATCATACTCAATTTTGGTAAAGAAAGTCGAAACATCTGCTTAGAAAAGACTGCTCGTAAAGATCTGCTTAGAAAAGACCTCCGTCAGAAAGTTGCAAGCAGCAACGATCATTTGAGGAGCTTTGCTTTCGCAAAACTAAAAGTTTCAGAGGGAAACCTTTTAATTTTTCGAGACCTGAGCCAAGAAAAAGTAAGTTCTAACAAAAAAATTTCAGATCAACAATATTAGTCCAGATTTGTTAAGAAAATGAAAGCAAAATAGAAGAAGCAGTTTAGAGGAGCCAAAATTATCCAATTCATTATAGCTCTCATATTCCTAGGAAGAACATGAAAAAAAAACAATTTAGGAAAGCTTGATGATATTTTGTAAATGATAACTAGAAGGACAATGAGCGTGTTGAATGAATTCAGTCTTAGAGTTTGTTCAGTTTGTTTGCAGAAGCATCCAGTGGCAAACAGGTACCGACTGATATCACAAGTGCACCTGGGTGAGAATTGCAACCAGGGAGTGGCCGCCTCCACCCGCACACTCGCTGACCCCCGATGGGACATGACGGTCCATACATCCTACTCTAATGAGTCACTATTCTGTGTGGCAACCATATACGCTGTATACAAGACTTGAGTTTGAAATAGCCAGCAGAAACTGTCGCGGCAGAGCCTATTTGTTTAGCGAATATTGTACAAAACATTGGATCAAAATTGAGCTGAAATTATTGACCAAAATATGTCAATCATGTTTACAAATTCATATACCAAACGATAGGTGGTAATAATCTTAGCAATTTGTTCGTTTTAAAGAACTGATGACTCAAGAAATCATTCGAATGAACCTTGAGTAATTATAAAAGTTATTAAAGGCATTTAATTTAAACTCATACAAGATCTGGAAGACATCGAATAAAAAAACTCATTTCAAAAAAAATATCTAATTTTAAACTTATCAGCCCATAGAGAATAACTGAATCAAAAATCAGTATTAGATTTTTGTTTAAGGTCAAAGTTCATGGTCTAAACACTGGCAAAAACTAAATTTTGGTTAAAACTCATTTTACAAATTTTATAGTGAACTAAAATTGTGACTGTTGGATCTCATTCGGCTAGATGGTGATTATCACCATATTTTCACTTTCATAACGTTTTGTCATAATCAACTTTAATTGCTTCCGAGTTTGTAAATATGAAATTATACTGTTTTCAGTCAGTGTTGATAAGCTTGATGAATTAATCGCTCATGAAGATTTCATAAAATTATTAATTGAGTAAATATTTGATTTGGTATGTTTTTGTTTCAGTTCCGTTAATGGCATCTGAACTAACCTGGAAAAAAAACAACCTATTCAAATAATCCAAATTAACCGAAAATGATTTACGCCGGGGGCAGAAAATAATCGAGTTTCAAAACTTTGAAACAATCAAATGTGATTGCTTGAATAGTGAAAGTAGGAAGCAATTTCTGATAAAAATAATCAAATTTATGTTCACATTTAGCAGATAAAAATAGCCAGAAAATTCCGAACTAATGGTTGGCACTAAAAATTGAACAAGACATGTTTGAGCAAAAAAAGGAAAGAAGAACACAATATGATGCAAAAAATTTGATCTCTGAATTGATTTTTTTCAGGGACTACCAAGACATGTGAGCAATTTTGGAGACAAACTGATGGCTTGAGTAAGAATGGAAGCGTGGTTAAATGTTATTTTTTTTTAAATCAGACGTGGATAAAGAAATCTAGGCGTGCAACACAATCAACAGAAGAAGCGAGCGTTTTTTGTTTCCTGCGACGGGAGGACAAGTCTTAAATTGAAGTTAATCTGAAAGTTCAGCAGACAAAGTTTAAGTACTCTCAATTGAAACCAAAAAAGATTAAAAAAATAGCTAGTTCATTTTAAACCATCACAACAACTTTTTGATTTGTTCCTGAAGAGATGTAGGTAAATCAATTACTACCCTAAACCAGCCACAAAAGCTATGCAACTGGTGCGCGAAGATGAAAATTTCAAAAGTTAAAGGAGGCATGATTTGTCTGAAAGTAAAATAGAAGGCTTCAATATGTTTGACTTGACCCTAAAATCATCGCTGAAGGCCAATAGACATCAAAACACTCAGAAACCACAACTGACCTGTTCTTAACAACTTTAATGCCGACATTTTAGTATAACAGACATCTATCACTGATCAAAACTTTCTTCTCTTGAAAAACACTGCGTTTGAAGAGGAATTCAGAAAGCATTTCCCAGCTCTGACAGCTCATGAAAAAAGTTTTAATGATCAAAAAGGTAAGCACTTTTAGTTGGAAGTTGAACAATCTATTGAAGTTGATGCAACAAGTTTTTCTAGTTATACCCTTCAACGAGTATTCCACTGTATTTTACAAAAATTATAGAACTCGGCATAACTTTTTCCAGTTCAAGAAATCAAATGGATCATTAAGTTTGGCAAACCTGGGTTACAAAAGAAAATTGAAGAAGAAAAAACACAATCCACACAAAAAATTTTCTACAGAATTACTCTCATAATTTTTTGCATAATCAACGCTTCAAATCGTTCCTAGCTTGTAAATGTGAAATTATACCGCTATTTTGAATGCTGATAACTTGATTCGCATATTTGGTGAAAAAAAGTTCGTTTTAAAATGGACCAAAACAACCCACCCCACGATAACTGAATGTCTGTTGGTGGTACCCAGACTTTTCGACTGGGAGGTCTGATATCATAGGATGTAAAGTGCTTGTTTAACGTTTTCTGCTCAAAAAACTACGTTCAATTGAACGGATGGTCGCTTGCACACCCAACGCGACAAACTCCATATGTACTATGGACCACTAATAATCCAGGCGTTGATGGTTCTAGGCAAAGTGCAGATGCTAGAGGAAAAAACTCACTAACAAGTGACAAAAATGATGATGGGATGCTTAGGTTCGATACTTATTTCAGCTGAGCGTTGAAGCCGTCCGGTCGAAAGTATATTGCCTCCTGGCAGATGAACTGTGAGTAATCTGCAGTGCGAATAGACCTTTTATACGGGTATACCAGATTGAAGTTGTTCGAACTCAACCGGGAACGATTCAATTTGATCCAAAAGAAACAAAAGAGTTTTCGCAACTGTTAATTTGGTCGAGTCGTTTATTGGTCGTCTTCCGGCAATATCCTCAAAAAAAGGAAACGAATCGATACACGGTTTGTGACGAATCGGGTAACTTATCGACGGACTGAGGCCATTGTTAGACCGTGGTGCTATCGTTCTACAGGTGTGGGTTACTTGCTTGATAAAATACGTAGTATATCTTCCTTCATGCGAGATGCCAGCAAGGCTGCCTGCAATTCCAACTTACCAAATACAAACGCAAATTCGTTTTTTTGGGTCACATCAATCCGGGCATGAAGGAAACCAAAAGAGCAAAGCACATTTTGCGAGATATCTCCAAACATATTGAGCTCAGATTTATCGAATGAACTGCTGAATTAGCACTGGTATTGACTATTTCTACAAAGACAAAGAGGCTTGAATGTCAATACAAAAATTGTTTCCAAACCGCTTCTGGTATTGGATCAACCTAGTTATGCCCATTTTGCGCTAAAATTCTTGAGAAGCAGACAGGCCCCTAACGTGTAGTAAGCGACCAAATCAATAGGGTTTGGTTGCTTACTATTAGGGTTCGGTCGCTTACTAATAGGGTTTGGTCGCTTACCAATAGACCGACATACCAGAACAGATCCTTTCATAACGGAAGTTTCGAGCTTACAGTTGACTCCACCACCAGCAACAAGAGAGTCACTTCCCTGGTTCCACTTCAACCCTAACACATGAGAACTCAAATGTTCAGCAACACTCGCAATGGCCTTTACCTTACAATTACATCAATTCAAGATTAGATAACAACCCGGACGAAGGGAAGTGGGCCACTCAAAATCCATCCTTCCGGCAGACGAACAGCCCATGCAGTTTTTTATTCTTAACCATGAAAACCATTGAGCAAGCGTGTGGTAAAAATCCTGACCTAGTACCGTTTCGATATCCAAAAAAGTATAACGAACTGATTTTATTGTTTCCAAGAATAGATATTCTAATTGAACGGCCGGAACGTCAACCTTTTATTTTCCTCCTTCACGTAAGCGAAATGATCCTTCACGTCGCGCATTTTCATCCTTCACATTGCATTAAGGGTATAATCAATTTTATTCAAATCAGCGGATAGTGTGACCTCGACTTTTTCAGTCGAAATTATATTAGTTGAAATAAAATTACTTAGGATCAAATCAATTATTTCCCTGACAACTCAGACGGTGAACCAAACTTGCGGAAAGTCAGGAGTAATGGCTCGCGAAGTCACACAAAACAAGAGGGTAATCGGTTTTTAAATTAGATGAAACACTCATTCAATAACCAGAAGAAGACCTTCAACGTCCTGCACGGATTTGGAACAAGACGACGTCGATTTTTCAGCCGGATTTTTTTTGAGCGGTGATTCATTCAAAATTAATGGGTAACAAACTGCGGATGTTGGTGATACAGTTGCAGGAAACCACATGATGCAAGGTTCGGATTATAGAACTGAAAGAGTAAGGTAGGATGACCTGTTTGGGTATGGCCTTGAATACTGCAAAATGAGGAGAAACAATTGAACACGACGGTGAAGGAACATTTTGATTACTAGCAGAAGTGAACGGCTCAGCGTTAACTAACTGATTTTCAACTGAGAACCGGTGGTGTTGTATTTATTTTGATTTATAATCGACTCAAAATTGCCTATATTTTGGTGAGTATGAGCGCTGGCAGCAATCTGCTTAAAAGATCTAGGAAACCTGGAAGGGACTCCGTCCCCATGCATCATTCTTGAAGACAAAACACCTAATTGGGCGTCACACTCGGGAACGACATCCAGAGGGACGTTATACTGAAGCGTACTCGGAACGGCACTACTGGATTCAAACTCGGAACGTTTTCCACCCAAGTTTCTTTGTTTTTATCTGTTCTGTCTTTATGAGAGCTTACCGAGCTAGCATTCAGGTCAACATAGTCGGAGTCTTCTACCAATTCAGCTTTAGTTTTTCGGCTTCTATATACTTTTTTTCATTCTCGGCGCTGATTCAAACATCTTTCAACCTTTGCTTGATTTCTAGTAAGCGCATTGATGTTTCATTTTGTCTCGTGACATCTTTTATTCCGAATTTGCCAACAACAACTGGTGGTTTTGTTGACTAAAAGCCATTGAGACTCTTTTACTCTAACTTGATACCTTAGACCGATGTGAGCTACGAGGTTTTTTGGAAGCTTTGGAAGAACCACTTCCCCCTAACGCGATGAAACGGACCTTGCTTGTTCTTCAGATCCTATATGGTTTCGACATTTTTGAATTACCTCATTGTGTTTTTTTTGTCACCGCTTCAAGCCATTGTTCCAACTTTTTACAAACCTGACTTCTATTAATAGCTTTTTCTGCCATTTGACTTGTCTCATCAATAAAAAAAGCTTTTTGCAGGAGAACATTCATGTTTTTGACGTAATTCTCAACATATTTTTCCGTTTTTTGTTCTCTATAGCTTTTTGTATATAATAGGAACATTGATGAGCTCAATTTTCTAACTATTCCAAGAATCAAAAAGCTTCTGTACCTTTCGGC